CCATCGCGAGTCGCTTCGAATAACGCAGCGACGCGAGCACACTTTTTAATCTGCCTGGAAAGTAACACGAGCGTAAATATTCCAGATAGGAGCTGGATCATTCTCTGAAATTCGCCGTATCGGCCACGGGGAAACAAGGAACCGGAGCGTCGCGACGAACACGGGCGAAATCCAACCGCGGCGTCGACGCGTTATCGCGGCGCTCGTATTTGAAACGCGTCTCGTAACCCGTGCAAACCCGACCGAGAGAAGCCAAACGACTTTTTTCGCTGAATCGCGAGGAAAGACGAAATACGCGACGTTAACGGCGGACGATTTTACGTAACTGTTCGATGGCTCGACGAAGCGTTTTTTTAAAAGCAATTAGTCACATCCGCGATGCAACGAAAACACGCGTCGCGATCGTATGGATTTGTCGGTTTTTACACCTGGTGAACCACGAGCCACGAAATTTATCTTCACCTTGAGGCTCAAAGTCCAATTCTTTGTGTATTTTTAAGCGTTCCGATCGCTGAAACGACGGAAGATTCGGAATAAAGGAAAGCTGGTCGATTTTGCGATCTTTCGAGATTCTTTAGGAATATCTGGTTTATGTTCGCGTTTATTTTTAAATGTAATTTTTAAGTTTAACAAAATTATTCTATTTTTTTGGTAAACACGATTTACTACATCCCTTTCTCGTTATTATAATTTTTAAGTTTAAAAGAATTGTTATATTCTTTCGTTAGAAAATACAATTTTTTATGAAGGTTTCTTTGGGCTTCATCGATGCGGTGAAATTAGATAATTTCGTTCCCTTCTTTATGTAAATAACAAATTTATTTTTCCCGCCATTGTAAACCTGTATACGGTTTCAAACGCTTGGTAAAAGTAAAGAAATAATAATCGAGCGGAAATTTGCGCGTGTGAAACGCCGATCGAACGGTAGGCATCTCGATTTTATCGAGAGTGTTCGGGTTGCGTCGAAATAGAATGCGATTACCGGAGTGCAAGTGTATAAATTCGGCATTATCTTATCCCCGAGCAGCTTACAAGGCGTATATTATCTCCGCTACGGTCCGCTCTGTCCCTTATTCTGCATACCTATGCAGATGATACACAATCCTCCGGCCTGATTGCGACATCATGAAATTACATTCCACGCGCGAAATTCTGCGCCGCGCTTAAATATTACGCGCGCTGATAAAGCCTGCGTATCGGCCGCGAAATACGCGGATATCTCGAGTTTATCGAACAACGACGAACCGAGGGGGCGAGAGTAACGCGTTCTTCGATACATCGAATCGATTAATTCGAGCATCGTTTACGTCGATACATGTTTGCCCGTCGCTCTCGCGGGTACTTCGATGATAAAACGCTTCGGCGATATTCCTGCGATAACGTTTCTAATTGCTCGAAATCGTAATCGATCTTGATACACGGGCAAACTTGGAACCGAGTTGCACGCACGATTATTTAGACTCGAACGACCATCATCGATTGTACAGAGTTCGAGGCGATCTAATAGACGTATCGTTGGACGATCAAAATCGCACAGATAGAAACATATTTCATCGAATAAAAAAACTTAGAGACGATTTACTGTAATTTTATCTATATTTAATGCTTAGTAATATGAAAAGAAACGAACCTTTCTAAATATGAGAAGTATAAAGTTACTACGATTCAGTGTGGAAAATACAAAATTGTTTAAATGTTTGTTCAAATGAAAGATAAGAAAATAAATAATATACCACACCTGGGAAAAATTGTAATGGTGGATTCTAGATGCCAAAATAGGACGAAAATCAAGAATACCAATTTGTTAATGGAGCTTTCGTTAAAAAGTTATTAACGTTTAAAGTTCCGCCTGTACTGAATTTTTTTCTCGAAAATGGGTAGGAATTTGTGAATATGTCTATTGACCAAAAATGATTGTAATTGACCCCTGCAATCGAAAATAATTTTTTCAGAGCGATTTGGAACATTTGAAATTTCAGGGGAATCGTTCATTCATGATCAGACATTATATTTTCGGTAAGGAATTTTTTTCTCGAAACTGTGTAGGATTTCGGGGGTTTGTGTATTCACCAAAAATGATTGTAATTAACCCCCACAACCAAAAATAATTTTTTCGGAATGATTTGAAATTTTTTAATAACTATTTAATGAAGCCTTAGTCAAGAAATTGATGTTCTTGATTTTTGTCTTATTTTGGCCTCTATTTTTTTATCGAGAAAAAATCGACAATAATTATGCGCTATCTTTGCATCGAATTGTTATAACTTTGTGGTTACGGATACTCTAAATTCTAAAACATTTTGGTAGAAATTTTGAAGATAGATAAATAAAAGAAATTGGAGATTGATAAAATGATATTCCACCGTCAGTAAAGGCAATCGTGGAGGTTCGCGAAAGAACTTATCGCTTTTGGAATCTTCTCTTATCGCTGTTAAGCAACGGTTTCGTCACGCGTTCGATTCCGTAAAATCCGTAAGTAGGCAGCTAAAAAAAATTATAAAGACACCGAATAAATATAGATAAATTGCACAATACATTTACAAAAGACGGAGCTATCGTAATGTAAACGGAACGTATCGTCGAGTTATGCAATAGAACAGCGGCCTCGTACAATAACAGTACAAAATATCGAATAACGAATCGCGTCCCATTGCCCGTGGTTTTGTCAGCTCGGTATAAGCGAAATCAACAAAGACAACGTGTACAAGGATCGATAGAGAGAAATGTGTGTGATAGAGATGATCGCCCAGACAATTCACATAAAGCATCGAAAGTCGATGATCAAAAGCCCGATTTTTCATTTCCATTCTTAACGCGCGCGTCATTCCAAGGTCGTTATTGCGAAGATTTCTGCTGATCGGCGTTACGTAATGCGAAGATCACGTTCTCGTGCACTGATTTCGCGAATTATTCGAAAAAATTTATACGAAGCATGTGTTTCGTTACGTTCTCTCGTAGAATCGCGTGGAATCTCTTTTTGCGTTAAATATTACGGGAAAAGGATTTTCCTCCTTTCGGTGTCGAAAGTGCAGGTTATTGTTTCCTCGTTTTAATGCGAATTCGACAAATTATATAGGTTCAACGCCATTTGAGTTGCAGGTGTTTTCTGGAAACTTTGATTAGAATTTTAACGATCATTTGTTAACATTCGTTTATCCATTTATTTATGGAATTTATAATGAAACACTGCACCATCAACGAGCTCGACACAATCTATTAAAAACTGTGACACCTCACCTTTAGACTAGTTTCAATTCTTAAACTTGAGTTATCAGAATTAAAAAAAATTATTTTTGTGAAGTTTCATAAAAATCAAGAGCACCCATCATGGATGTTTCTTTCAAGTGACTATTGAATACAATTTTGTTCGTATCAGAGCTTCGTTCTCAAAATTATATCATTTACCTATGAAAAAACAGAAATAAATTCTTGGAACTACCTGCAACCTGAGGCATAGTAAACAAACGCAAAAACTTCACAGAGCGATCGAGATATTAAAAAAAAACTACTTTGCACTGTCGATCCTCTTTTTATAACCTCTACTGTACGTCAACAAATTTTTTAATAAAATGTATCAAGCTTGATCATCGATTAAAACGTATAATTGGTGTACTCAACGACTTCGCGCTAAAACGATGGTTCTTAATCGACAGTTAATAGCTTTTAAAATCGTTAATATAATGCAAGAAAGGAAAAAATTGTTATCCGAAATCCAAGTCACTTTAACTCGATATTGCATGAATTTTATATTATATATCAAACAAGAAATTCTTTCCTAGTTATGTGTACTATAATATTATGGATCCTGCGGGGTTATTAAAAGTCCTCGTAAGAAAATAGCTTACGCAAGTCCCATAAAATTGTCTCGGTGAATTTTATTGAATCCCCGATCGGACACTTTATGCAAAAAACGAATAATCTCGTTTCACTTTTGCTCGTATTTTTAAAAGAAACGGAAATATTTAAAATAATCACATTAAATAATCAAGTTAATTCGGTATATTAATTTGGTATATTAATTTGGTATATTCTTTACTATACTTCTTCTATGTACTTTTTGCTTCTCATCTTTACTGTGTGAATAAGGTTTTTAAATATAATAAAGATAAATAACTAGTTAGTTTTGACTAGTTTTCCTTCCTCTATTGACCTGAAACTTTATTATCAAAGTCTTGCAACTATGAACGAAATATTTCTATACAACAAATAATAAACTAATTAGTATCCACAGCTAATAAATTTCAAGACTTCAGAAGTTATCCTGTTCAGGGTTGACGAACTTTCATTTACAAATAACAAATGAAAATTATATTACGACTGATTTGTAAACTCCGATATACATGCACGTTTCAGTCGTAAAATTTGAATTATTAGTAAATTTTTTAAACCGACGTTCAACGTGAGCAAAAGCTGGTTTACGAGCGAATCTAACATTTTTATTCGTTATTCGAGAATAAAATTCTCTCAGCTCTGATCCTAGTGAAAAGACTCGCGAGATATCTCGTCCATGGTTGCAAAGCGGTTAACTGTGCCATAAACTTGACGCTTCTGAGCAAATTAAGTATTTCTCTCCTCGCGATCGACGCAAAATGTGAAATATTTCGATCTAAATGCGCCTTATAAAATAATTTTCTTCAGCAAATAACTGAAAAAATTGTTACGCTTCTAATCTCAGTAATTAAGCGTTCGAAACACTTTTCTAAAGCAATGATTCGTAAAATGAACATGGCAGCCTGTTCATCTTTCGTGCAACGGAGGTGAAATTCGACCCCAACACAGGGCTTCGCTGGCTCCAAGGGGGATCCCCCTTGGGAGAAACGTTCAACTTACGAGTCACGTGTTCATTTAAAGAATCATCGTCAAAAAGATCAAAGGGATTAAGAACCATCCGGGCGTCGAAGTCGCGGTTTCAAATCGTTCCGAGAACGTAGTTCATCGTCGCGTGGAAATCTCGCGGAAACCGACCTTGGAAGGAACCACAGTGTGCGCGGAAGCTGTACCTCGTCCGAGGTAATCGGTGATTCGAGAGTACGGCCCACCTCTGGTCTCGCGAGGGGGAAAAGAGGGCCTTAGTTCGCGATTGCAGTAGTCGGCGTGGTCGCAGCAGGCGACCACGTACTCCACGTCACCTGGACCGCGTAGCGTGCTATTCGTGCTGCACCAGACCGAGTACTCGGCCGCCGGGAAGAAGTGCACCTTATCGTAACACCTGAGAACAATTTACGTCATGTATACCCGGTCCTGGTCACGTCCAAAAGCTGTACCCGACCTCTCGCGACTCGTTCGCGTTTTGAAACGGAGGCACGCGACACGAATCCGGGGAAAATGAAGCCTAGGGAATTCTTAACGGTACCTTGTCGACGGAACGTGGCCATTTCCCTTTTCTTTTTTCAGACCCGATACGCGTTCAAACGAGAAACACGCGCATTGTAAATAAATTATAGATTCTTCCGTTTCACTTTGTCGCGTCCAGTGATAAATTACTCTTATTACGCGGTTGTAAATTAGCGAGGGTCATCAGCCGCGGAATAACAGACGGCGAGATAAGTTTGAGAATTAATCATTAATAACCGGCGATCGGGCCGGTGCTTGCTTTTTCTTTCACGGGTAATTTGGCTGTTAAGGTGCCGTATTATAACGTCGTTATCTCTAGCCCTTCAGGGACACCGCGTCGTATTAAACATTCTTTCGTCTTTTACTTTTTGGACGTGACTGAAAATTACGATGACGAACGAGAGGCCCTTTGGTGCACCGCGTCCGATGAAAATGATTTTACAACGCACGGTAGTTGCTTACGTCCGACAAATTGTCAGCTCGAGGTTTATATAAGAAACCGTGAACTTCGTTCGCCGGATAATTGAAAATAAATATTACTGATTAAAAGTTCGTGGTCCGTTTTTAAATATATGTTATTGCTTACACAATAATACTGACACAGATATTGACACATTGACTCTTTGAACTTGACATTTGTGAAATCATCAAAACACTCGACGCCGACTCGTCGAATCTTTTAACGAGTAATCTGTTCTGTAAACAACCGTACAACAAGATACCATTAAGCACAACATATTTATACGCTACTTAGAAATATCGGCGATGTTAACCTTTTTAATTGACTACTGAAAATAATTGTTTTTTTTTAATCCCTGATGAGAACTACGACGGTTACACAAAGTACCTATTATACAGAGTTTTGTAAGCTGTGGACGGCAGGTAGATTCCCCATTAAATCGAGGGTAGAACAATTAACTCGGTCGTGTACCAAGTTGATTGCATTTCTTTGCTTTCGCGAATCTTTTGAAGGTAGAAGATTCACGACAGCAAAGGAACTAGAAAAATTAAATCGAAAGGGCGTGCAGAAATGAAGATAATAATAGCTACAGCTGAGTGTACGATCGAAATGTCGGTGCAAGATTGCTTCCTATTCGTTTTAATTGCATGAAAATTATTAAAAGACAAACCTTCGCGATCAATGCATTTTAAGCGTTCCGCGGACAGATTCGCTTTGGAATAATTTTCAATACCAGTGAATCGAGCCGCGATTTACATTGAATATTTAACTGAACATAGTAATATCGATAATAAATGCATAAATGTTTCCAAGCATTCCAGAAAATGGCTGATACGATTTCCTGCAAAATTTGAGATCTTATTGACAAAGTTTTTTTTAACAGGAAACTATATTTTTCAACCTAAAAAAGAAGATATGTATATTTCACAATAATAAACCGTGTAGTTTAAATTCCTCGACAAAATGTACTTTTATGGCCACTAGACGGTGCATTTATGGTCGTGTACAATAGGTTGTCGATCTCGATCGTAAAAGCGTTATAGAACAGGATAAAAAGTATAATATTCCATTTTGTAAAAAAACCAAAGTGGATATCTGTGTTTGGTTTCCTTCAATACGGTCTCAAATTTCGAAAATAATCGATCGTATGGACTGTAAACACTCACAATGAATTTTAAAACAAATTCACGTGTTTAACGTCTTGTTTACATCTGACACCGACCCTTCGAATATTTTACAACTATCGACGACTAAAGGAAAAGAGTTAATACGTATAATCTATCGGATTTATATACAATAGGATGTAAAAGGAAGACTAAAAAATAGGGTTGGCGGAGCGTATCTAAGTGAGACTTTCTCTCGAAAAGAAATTGAAAGGAAATATTTACAAAAGATGGTCCTTTTCGCAAGGATCTGTTTACCAATGTCACTACGTGTCTACTTTTGCTAGAGAGTGCAGAGAGGAAAGATATGGCAACATGCTACCGGTGCTTTCCAAGTTCACTCAGGAGAACTTCCGGTTCCCGAGCGCTTGTAAGCGAAAAAATAAATACAGGAGGAGAATACCTTGAAGTAACAAGAACCTCCATAGGTGGCAAATATGTGTACTGTTTTTTTATCTTAAACGATAAATAAAAAGTCGTCGTTCCCGCGAACGTTTAATTATATAACAATAATCGTCGATATTACACCTTTTACTTTCTCTATTGTACTTTCACAAACTCGATCAATTGTTCAAAATACTCGCAACCCAAAATACAAAAAGCGGCACATCGAACATATTTAAGCAAAATAAGAGAATCGTTATACGTAACCGGCTGTACTGCATCGAAAGAATGTGAGAGAGGATGACGATGAAAGGGGGAACAAAGAAGGATGTGATAAATACTTTGGGTTCGAAGACGCAAAAATAAAAAGACAATCGACCATATGTGCGGAAAACGATAGCAAACTTTCAACTTCTTAGATGTTACGAACTTTCACGAAAGCATTATTTATTCATATCAATACCGAGTGTTACTTTACTTTTCATTTTCAAAATAAGACTAAAAAGAAAAGTTCTCCAAAAAAGAACGTTTCAAGATAGCAGATCGAATATTATATTAAACAGTACAATAATTCTCGATTACTTAACTAAAATATGGAAAAGGAAAGAAAAACTTTCGAAAGACGAATACGCATCTTCCTCGTATTTATCTATAGAATTCCAGAAAAGGAACGCCAACGAAATATGTACCAATTTTGAGGCACAAACGCGGCCTCTCGTGTACGATTATAATAAATCTAAATAAATTAAGCGTCGTTAGAATGCGCATGTATTTCACGGGACTATCGAGTAAACATTGCGCGTCGTCCCCGTATATATGGCCGTGCAGGGCTATCGATCATATCGGTCGTTAAACGAGACCTACTAAACCTGTTCGCGCTTCCGTCGTTCGAAAGGAAGTCGCCAAAGCGGAATGGACCAACTTTCGCGGGACGACAACGAGCGTCCTCGTGGCCGCGTGCAAACGCGGAATGGATTGCACGAGAGGTGAGACGTGTGGTCCGGTATATTGTGCTTTATCGGGCACGTGTAGCAGAACGGAGAGAAACGCGGATTCGCGAGTGCAAGCGGCGCATTATGCAGCGCGTATGCGTGTGCATCGTGCAGCCACCCAGTGGCTTTCTACTCGCGGAACTACAATGTGAACGCGGGCGTACATTATGACATTCCGTAAAATGTGCATATACGTATATAGATATATGTATATGCACACATGTATAGAAATCTGGACATAAATAACAGAGTCGAGCGCGACAGTACGAGAAAGAGACAGCGAGAGCGTGTCAGCAGGTTTGGTGATGTGCGAGAGGGAGACGCAGCGTACATAAATGGAGGCCGCGAGAGACAATACACAATTCTGCACGGTAAAGGAAACGAAAGAAACGGTTTCGCGATCGGCGTACGCGTATCGACATAATAAATATGCAACGGAACTGTGCGGGGGGAGCCGTGCGTGCGCGTACGAGAAGGTACATCGTTAACGATCGTTCCTGCTCGCGATCGAACGGGGGTTGGCGTGGGTGTATGTAAAAGTCGAAGCGCCCAAGGAATAATCGCGTCGGATTGAATCGGTAATGGCGGAATAATTGTATCAAAGAGAAAGCAAGAACGGAAGAAACGTGGAGGGCCGGGAGCATGAAAATTTAATTGCTAGTTTGAGAAACGAGACGCTCTCCGGTCAACTATGTACACAGCGTTCTCGAGTCGAATGAAAAATCGAAAGATTATTAAAATAATAAGAGTGATAGGAGAGTAAAGTGAAAGAGATAGAGTATGATAGAGGAGAGAGAGAAAGAGAGAGAGAAAGTGAGGCAGAGAGAGAGGGAGAGCTGCAGCAAAAGCCTGAGCCACCTGCAGAGTTTTCGCTACTTCCAGGTCGATGGACTGTACCTTCTTTGTTGCGAGGGTGCAGCTGAGGTTTCAGATCCCGATTGCAAAAATCCTCTTTGCAGCACTCGATGACAAAGGTCGTGTTTCGCGAGTCGCTCGTCATGCAGAAGATGAGCGGCTCGGGCTGCGACGACGACAGCTGTTTATTCACGCACCTTCAAGCCGAGTTTGCACCAGTTTCAGAAAATAGAGTCAAACCAACGTAACGTCGGGGGGATGGACGTGCTTTTGGAACCGCGGTTAGGGCACTCCGGGGGGTTATGGTCGGAAGAGTAATGATCGTGACGTTCAACGTCGCGTTCGCGGTAATTTATGCTTACCAAGTTCATTCGCGGAAGGATACAATATCGACGAATGAACGCCATTCTTATTTATTCTCTGCAATATGTAAATTTAACGTACGCTTCGTATATTTGTTAATATCTTGGACGCAAGAAAGGACAGCTACCTATGAAAATCTATCCGATAACCTTATCGATTTTATTCCACAGAGATAAAGTTTAAGAAAATAAAATATGCATATTCAGCGAAATAAAGTACGAGTATTGTAAAAAGTTATGTATTGTATCGTAAGAATCTGGGTTGGAGAATTCTTGCTAAAACGTGGCGCGAAATGTAACTTTTAAAACCCTAATATTTATTTATTACCGCTATTGTAACAGTTTGATTGATACGTTCGCGATTTGTGGGTGTTACGCTGAAGAAACAAGGAAATCTATACTATTTTTAGAATAATAACACTTTGATTAGAGTCGAAAAATTAGCGATAGCGAGTGTTGCGTAACGATAAAAGCGCAAAGAAGTCAAAAACAATTAAGTCACTCTCTAAAAATATCCATTTTTCTCGGCCACGTAACAGAACAGAGAATGCCCACTCGAGAAACGTAATTTTATTCGTAAAAAAGAATTCCGTACCGAATTAAACGCGTGATTTGAATCTACGATAATTTATATTTTATATATGCAAGTAAAACTTTAA